GTACAGCAGCAGCAAAGCCATTGGGTGACCCACAGTTTACATTAACCAACACATCGACAGTACAAACGCTCCTCTACTTACGAACGAGTTACGTTCTAAATGGAACTTGAAATGTTTGTAAGTCGTTATTCAACATCATTTTAAGGGTATACATAAGTACAAAGAACTAGGGTGCTGGGAGTACGCACGCTATGCTGCTACGTGCTGGGAGTAGCAGCCAGAAGTCGTACTAGGCGGAATTGGCGCACAGAGCATGAAACGGGAGCCCAACGAACACAATTTGTACTTACAGTCCTCTTCATTCGTATGTCTGAAAGTTCATAAGTTGAAAGTTTGTAAGTAGAAGAGTGTCTGTATTTACTAAAGCATCAAGTATTTATTCAACTTAAAGAGAAGCAAGAAATTGTTCCTATCAACTGTTATGCCATAATGAAAAAGATATTACAGTGCAATTTTGTACCACAAATGACTGGGAGGTGAGTGGTGGGTGGCACTGTAGTCTCACACCTCCATGGTTGGGTGTTCAAATCCCTTCTTGTTTTGTCTGTGTGTGTTTTGGATTTTCTCCCTGTGTCATGGAGGCTTTTGCCCTCCCACAATCTAAAAGTATGCGTTAAGATCCTATATGCCAGTGGTTCTCAATCCTGTTCCTGGCGCCCCCCCTGCCAGAATGTTTTCATTCCATCCCACTCTGCTTACAACCTACCATATTCATTATTAGCCTAAGGCCTATCTGACCCTGATAAGGTAGGGTTGGAATGAATCACTGCTGTATGCCTGACTTGGTGCTCCCCTGCCTTGTACTGTCTATGTCTTAGGACCTGAAAGATGGATGGATGGAAAAGAGAAGGAGATTAGAGTATTGCCTCCACTTTTAGCTTTTGCCTTTCACATGAGAAGTTTAGGACATACACTCAGTAGGTGGTGATAGAGCCACGGAACATTTCGGAATGTAGGCTGGGTTAGTGCTATTATTTGCTTCTGAATCTTCATTTATCAATGATTCAAATTGTGCATTCTGTCAAAAAAACCACAACTCTCCATTTCCACTTTGGATAAAAAGCATTGGCTAACAACAGCATAATACTTATGAGGTCACAATACAGCATTCTTCTTAAAGGTGAAGTAAAAAAGTCTTTTCAATGAAAAGCCAGTGTGAACAGAAGAGACGGCATGAATGAGTCGTAAGATGTCAATGCTTTCTTTATCCCACAAGGAACAATAACGTCAATGTGATTCTTATGCCAAGTAAACAAAAAATATATAGCAAGTCTGAATTCTAAAAATGGAAGAAAATATTTAATATTGAAATAATATATACACTGCCTGGCCAAAAAAAAGTCATCATTTGAATTTTTCATTGGACCGCCTTTAGCTTTGATTATGGGGCACATTTGTCATGGCATTGTTTCCACAGGCTTATGCAACATCTCACCCTTTATTTTCATCAAGATGTGCATTCATTTCTCACCAAGATCCTGTATTGACAAGTGTTTTGAACCACTCCATAAAGCCTCCTTCAGCACAACTCAAAGACCTTCAATGAGGTTAAGGTCACAACTGACCAAGTCATGCAAGAAAATGATTCCTCATGGTCCCTGAACCACTCTTTGACAATTTGAACCCAATGAATCTTGGCATTCTTGTCCTGGAATATGCCCATGCCAACAAGGAAGTCATTGGCTCTTAAGTATTTGCTGATATAAATTCAAATTCTGACTTTTTTTTTGACCAGGCAGTGTATATTTTACTCTCTACCCTGCTAACGACAGCAATAAAAGTGTATGCAGGATATTTTTTGCTTTTTAATGATATGCTTTACTTTACTGAATTGTTCTATTCAGGCTAAAACAATGAACTGACCTATCCCATGGGAGGAGTTTACACCATGATGGAATCACCACAACCTTTTCAGAAGCATGAGAGACCTACACGCATATGCAACTGAATTCCGTCATTTTGACGACGGGTGTGTTTTCTTTAAATTGCGTAATATAATTGTAAGGAAAGAATTAACCTGTAGCCCAGTTGTTCAAGCATTCAAGCTCTTGCAGTCAGAAGTCACACAAGATTCTTCTTCTTCTTTTGGCTACTCCCGTTAGGAGCCGCCACAGTGGATCATCTGTTTCTGTGGAAATCTGTATTGTTTTATTCCCCTTTTTTATATTCCCTCCACCTCATCCCCTTCTGCAGAATTTATTTCCCATTGGGAAAAAAAGGGAGAACAAAAAAACACAAACATAAAACAAAAAAATACAAAAATATGAAAATATTAATAATAATAACAGGAATATAGAAGTAAAACGAGTAGCAACAACAACAGCAGTAATAGCAATAACAACATTCATAACAAATGCAGCTGCATCCGTGCATATGCCTCTATCTTTGTATGTGTAGGTAGGTGTGGATATGTATCTATATGTATGTGTGTTTTTATGCATGTGTGTGACTGTAACGATTTGTCCATGGATGTGCTAGTAGTTAATGTGGGGGGCAGCAGCGACATTACCCCCCCACCCTGACCCCCCGGCCAAAGCCACCGGAAACCAAGCCAAGAGGGTACCCAGCTGTCCCCAGAACGAAGGGCCCCGTCTACACGCCCGAGAGACAATCACAGGCCCAACCTGCCGAGGAGGATGCGAGGGAGAACCAGGACAACAGCCCCCCCACATGAAGAGCCCCGGATGGGAAGCAACCAGCTCAACCTACCAGCCCCAGCCCCGGCATGACGAACCAAGAAGGCCCGGAAGCCAGACACCCACGTCCACCCAGCGGGAGGCCCACCATGCACTGGAAAGGCCTGAGCCCCCCAGACCCCGCCCCCCCAGTGGGCCAGACCACAGCCTGCCACGTAAACCCGGCATGCCGCCACCGGTGCTGCTGAGGGGGAGCGGAGGAAGACCGTGGAGAGGGCCCACCCCACCCACCAGGAAGCCAGCCTCGGGACCACAGAAAAAGGCAGAAAGACCCTACCCCCAGACCATCCCGGAGTACCCGAAACACCCACCGGGACCCCGGTCCAGGCCTCCACCCGGCCCACCACTGCTGGAGGGGGCTGCCCCCTTGCCAGGACCACCCACCACACCCCCAATGAAATACATTTTGTTGTCTACATATGTCACGTGAGATTAAGAACTGGAAACAGGCTTCCTGGCAGGAAAAAATCTTCAGCTAGATCATGGTCTCCCTCACATCAGCTAATACAAGGAGCCGTTAAAATGGTTCAAGATGCATCCAGGGTCATTATCATTTCTGATACTAGGCTCAATGCGAATCTCACTTTGTATGGCTGCTCACCTAGGCCCAAGATGCCTTAGCAGACCTGAATTCTGGCATTGCTGGACTAGGGGTTACTTCCTTCCATGGAAGTATATTATGGCATTCTGAGGAAAACCCAGGCTATTTCTTTCTGTCGAATGAGGCACATACTCTATTATTCTAGTCTGGAAACAGTGCTATACCTGGCTCTGGTCAGTTTTGACTCTCTCGCTCTGAGACGGCTCCACCTGGACAGAATGTGAAAAATACACATTCTGCTGCCCATACTCCTGGTGTCAGATGTCATGTGAAATTAAGAACTAAGAATCTCCAGTCAAGAAAAAAAAATCCTCATCCACATTGTGGTTTCCATCACATAGACTCATAAGGAGCCAGTCGCAGAGCAATTCAAATATGTTTTTCAACTATGCTATTCAATTAATATTCCCCTTTAAATGGATTGAGTTTCAGCAAAAATGATAGTCTGTGTCTCATTTGATGAAAGCCTGAGCCTGAGCAATACTGTATGATTTCCTGTCTGTGTCATTCCTACTGTCCTCCTCTAACACGCCCCATACCTATCCTTTATGTGCCTTATACCTCTCCCTGTGACTAAGGATCCATCATAATAGAAGTCAGGTTGTAAACTGTCTTTTTTTGCTGGTTTGAATTAAACACGCTTGACGGTTTCATTGTTTTTCGATTGTCTTACTTTCCATCAATAAATATTAATGAAGTGTTACAACATATAACTGGCCAGACTTGGCGTATGTAAGGTTGTTTTGGGTGTCATGCCCTTGTCACTGGTTTGTCATTGAGTGTGGCTGTTTTGTAGATGCGGTTTTACAGACCCTGATGATTGCTTGTTTACCCATGGTGTGACTGGCTCAGATTCCAGGGGCATTCCGCTGGAATGCTGTGGGTCAGGAGTGAGGCTCCTCCCTGAAAGTGCTTCCAATGGAAGAGGCATTGCAGTGAGAAAAGACATGGCAAGCAAGACAAGGGCTGGGCCATTATTGGTCATGCTCCAGTTGATGCCTTTGTCACCTCGCTTACAGTTTCGTCATACGCATGTAAGTCAGGAAAAGCCTTATGTGGATCTTGGGATCATGTTATTTCTAAGCACACTGTTCCTGTCTTAGAGCTGGAGAACAGTACAAGTCGGGGGTATCAGAGGGCCATGGACACCATGACAAATTCAGAGGGCACAGCACTTTTTAGGGGCTCCAAAATCATGCCCCCCTGCTTGACCATATCAACTAAGCAATTGAAAGTGCCAACCCAAGCATTGGGGTCCAAGGTGCCATTTCTCAGGGTGTCTGGGATATGTAGCTACTCCCCTGGTACAACTACAGCATGAGACTTTTTAATGTATTTCTTGACGTTTTCAGCCAAAATAAATTCTCAATGTCCTTATACAGGGAAACTGTTAGTATTAACAGTACTGGACTTGACTACTCCAACATCACTTTTTTACTATAGCAATAGAAATTCTTAAATCATGATGTCTATTTTACTAGCATCCACTTCAGATGTCTCCTGCCTGGCTCCTCATGCCCCTCTACTGCATTAGGGGCTGATAGATAAATGCATAAATGATTTTATTATTAGTAGGACCCCTTGGATGATAAATTAATCTTGACTCTATTAGTGTGTTTGCAGAGGGGGAGTGTCCAGGAGCATCTCTGAACCAGGGAGTTGTCGACCCGATGAGTTTTCTCTAAATGTTCAGGCCAAACAAGTTGGATGACCTGGCATATGGCGTCACGATAGCATCAAAGGTTGCTGCATTGTATTATTATGTAAGCATAAAAGTAGGTCCACTGCTATTCCAAGGGTCAGAACAGGACTCACACGGATAGGTGTCTTCTGCCAGGTGAGACGCAGGTAAGTGGATACAATTGTCCTGGGTGTACCTGTACAATGTGTGCGGGCTATTTACTCTGCTAACTTCAACTTCAACAGCATTTATTTCTTTATTTTGAAGTTTAGGTTAATTAATTTGAGGATCAGTCTACTGTTGACAAGTTAATGACACAATGGTCATTTCCACAGTAACTGTCTATTTTAATTGTGTTCTACAATTCGGGTGAATCCATTTGATAAACCAGTGATTCTCTAGTCATGTGAAGAGTGCTGAGGGATCTATAGATTTTTCAGGTTAAAAAAAAAATACTCAAAACCACCACATAGATGATCCCACATATTTGATGTTTGTTAATTGTACACATTTATAACCTTAAAATGAAAGATTTATAGGAATTGTTGGATAGTAATATTCATAGGTGTGTGGAGTTTAAGTCAAGGGAGGTGATGCTATGATTATATAATTCCTTGGTAAGACCCCACCTAGAATATTGTGTGCAGGTTTGGTCACCATACCTTAAGAAGGACATTGCTGCCTTGGAAAAGGTGCAACGTAGGGCTTCGAGAATGATTCCTGGTCTTAGGGGAATGTCTTCTGAGGAGAGGTTAGCTGAGCTGAATCTGTTTAGCCTCAAGCAAAGGAGACTAAGGGGGGACATGATCCAGGTATATAAGATTCTAATGGGTCTGGATGCTGTTCAGCCAAATGGCTATTTCAATATTAGTTTAAATACTAGAACTCGTGGCCATAAGTTGAAATTAGCGGGAGAACATTTTAAAATGAATTTGAGGAAGCACTTCTTTACACAGTGTGTAGTTAGAGTATGGAACGGTCTTCCTACTAGTGTAGCACAAGCTAAAATCCTGGGTTCCTTTAAATCAGAGCTAGATAAGATTTTAACAACTCTGAGCTTTTAGTTAAGTTCTCCTCAAATGAGCTTGATTGGCCGAATGGCCTCCTCTCATTTGTAAATTTCTTATGTTCTTATAAGATGAGTATGGACATAAGCACATGCAATAAAACATCCTTGCTTATTTGTTTGTAGGTACTCCATCAGCATGGCAACCAACATAGTAATGCAGCAGCCTGGCACCACAATGGTCATGGCACAATCAAGCGAGTGGAGTTCTGGCATCTGCGATTGCTGTGATGACATGGCAGACTGTGAGTTTATGTATCTGTATGTGCATCTCTATGCTGAACCCTCTGTCTGGGCCACAGCTAGATTGGAGATTTCATTCAGCCAGCAGAATCTCTGGAAATAAGAGAAGTCTCTATAGAGTGTTTCTGTATATTGCCCGGCATCCCTCCAGGAAAATTTCCAGTCTCATAAGTAGACAAAGTGCCTAAAAAATTACTGACTGAAGCATCCGACGTGTGACCAAAACATAAATGATTTATTCCTTTGGTTCTGCCTGGGCTATGACAGTTGATCACTCAAATCATCTATTTGCCAACAGGAACTACACTAAATAGCAGAACATGTGAATGGAGAGGAGAGATGAGAATTTTTGCAAAAAAAGAAAACAATCTGCATTGTATTTTAATTTTAGCTTAAGCTGTAGCCTGACTAACTAAGCAGCCAAATCCACATTCAAGCAGAAATTATTTATTTCAAGATGTGAGCAGGTAACGTTCAAGTTGTTTTTTTTTTCCCAAATACGCCGCTGCGCACTCACCCCACCTCCAGCTGAAATCCTTCCGCTCCTGCTCCGCTCCACTCACACGCGCTGCCAGATATGAAGTAAATGTATATAGTTTATCTTGGAGAGGCTGAGCAGCATTTTCTGCAAACCAGCCAGCTAATTATGATCTTCCAACTGTACTTGCTAGCTACTTGTTTAGTTTTTGAAACACCTGAGAGAGGACCCCAGAAATAACAAACCCGCCCCTAAATGTATGATAGGGCCACATGTTCACTGGCCAAAAAGTTAGTAAAGCGAGACCAAATTCAGAACCTTCTTACCGATTTGCACAACTGTATTTTATAGTGTGTCAATGTACGATAATTAAGTGAATAACCAATTAACAAATAACTGAACAAAAAAGAAATGCCTGGAATTACATATTTGAATTTAGATTTTTCTACTATCAGCAACACAGTGGCTATATTAAAGCACCTCACCATACATAAGCCGTGAACTTTGGATTATTGAAAGAGCTGGGTATTAGTGACTTTGGATAGCTTTCTGGCCATTCTCATTCACTGCATGACTTATTTGAGTAAACATTTACAAGGGGTCTCTTAAATAAAAAACTGTATTGTGAAATAACCTAAAATGTTAGCAGTAACAGAAACTGAATTCATGCTCTACCAGCTGTGAAATGCAAACAGGGTGGAAATACAAGACGTTTATGAAATAACTGGTTAAACAAAAACAATGTTAATAGTTTCAGGATATAACCTCCTATAGGAACAGAAATCAAAAGAATCAAGGCTCGCAGAAACGTGCAAATGACAGCGGGAGTGGCTTGGGAATGTATAACTGGGTGTGTGCACAAGAATGGTTGCGTTTGTCCGGTGATTTTATGGATTATGTTCATACGCCTATACGCCCATAGCTATGCAACTGCTAATCTCTTGCTTGCTTTTTTTTTTGGCCACGATTCAGGCTGCTGTGCTTTCTGGTGTCTGCCATGCTATGCCTGTAAGGTATCTAAGGATCACGGCGAGTGTACCTGTCTCCCCCTTCTGGAATATGCTGCTTGTGGTGGTGGTGCATGTATTCCAGCCATCTCTCTTGCTGTCAGAGTCTCTGTACGTCGGACCTATGGCATCCAGGTAGGACACAGCGCTGCTTTTCTGAGCAAGTTCTAAAAGTTGCTGCTTCTTATTAAAGCAATATGCATGTCTGTTTGTGAACTGAAACAGTAAATTTTCTATGGGAAATACCTCAAAATCCATCTTTTCCAGGATCACCACTATGAGTACTGCACTACTGTCCTGTTCGACCAGTCACTAGTGTACCTGAAGTGTAGTTGACTCATTAGATTCTTGCTATGTATGGACATACTGAATAGCTTTTGCTCCGATGCCACTTACATTTTGCTACTAGTCACTGATTGGAAGCTCAGCCTAGTTGCTTCTATGCCAAGTTGGGTTGGAATTTTCAATATGCCTCACTTTTACTTTGCTTTGGACAAAAGTGTCTGCTAAATAAATACATGTAAATAAACATAAATGTTACCAGTGAGCTCTGATCATACCTTTGCAAAGGACAGTATGTAAAACATCCATGAAGTCTTTAATACCACTATGAGAAAACACTAGCTTCAGCTCCTTCTATGGTAGGGACAGCATATCCCATGATGCCCAATGGTTTTGGCCTTTTCACTGTCACAGGGATCCATCTGCAATGACTGCCTGTATGCCACATGCTGCTACCCCTGCTCCTGGTGCCAGGTGTCTCGAGAGATAAAGGCCCGACAATCTTCAATCGTCTACAGAGCTGCCTAATAAGAATCATCCCTCAATCATCTTGTGATCGTGGCTCTCCTGACCAATCACCAGGCACATTATTTGTATATAACAAAATGTCACCATGTGAATTTAGAATGGGAAGGAGGAGATCCTTACCGATGTCTCGATAAACCATACTGTTTATGTTCAACTCATTCCTCAAAGTACTAAAACATTTATTAAAGTGGTGTGGTTTGTATATCGTAAAACTGGGCTAGGGAGTAGTTTTCAGTTGGTATTAAAAGCAAACATAGTTGTCACCATAAGAAATCCTACATTAAATTACAAACGGTCAAACCATAAAACATATAATTGTGACCAGCTTTCTTTGTGTACTTATTACAACAACTGTCATTATATGGTGTTGCCTGGATTAGGTTTATTTAACGAACATTTCAATGCCTTGGACTTAGCTGTGTGGCAAGCCATGTGAGTGGCACTCAATTATAGGAGGTATTTAATGAAAAACAAAAATAAAAATGATAATGATAGAATGAAAATACAGTCTCCACTTTGCCATTTAGTTTTCAGTCTATGCACAAAGCTCCTGAGAAAACTCAACTTGAAGTGAAATAACACCATTTGCGTTTTAATTTTCCATTAATTTTATGTTTAATTTGTAAAAAATTAAAAGATTAAATTAAAAAAAGAGTTCTCTTTTCATTTCCCGTTTGGTTTTAAAACAGAAAAACAAGTCTATTTTTATATTTTTTCAAGTTCTTATTTTAAAACAGAAAAAACCCCCAAAAAAAATAACGAATGATGCGCAGATTTTATAATTTGACTTTTCCAGTTTGCTTTTCCATTTTCAAGTTCACAACATGCAAATATGTGTTAACCGGCTAACTCGCTAAACATTTTCCATTAGCTGATCTCTCTGTTTACTATTATGGAGCTAGCCTACACTACATATGTACATCTAGCCTAATTCTCTCTCTGTCACGGATCCGGGCAGCTCGGGTATGGGAACGTGGCATCGGGCACAAAAAGGGCGGACGACCCACTAGCGGCTCCAGGAACAGAAAGGAGTTTATTAAATAAAACAGAAAACACTACAAACACAAAACCAAAAGGACCACGAGGGTCAAAAACTAAAGGGGATAATTAAAGACTTAATATCACAAATAACAAAAACTGGGAAGGTAAACAGAATACAGATCTAACCAAACAAAGAAAGCTTAGACAAGCAACAACAATGAACCACTGGGGAACTGAACAGAAGCAGGAACTAAAATACTAAGGGGTAACGAGACTAACACAGGACAGGTGAGGCTAATTAACAAAGACCAGGGAAACAGGGCACAGGTGAAACTAATAAACTCAAAGGAACTAAAAACAGGGAAACTAAGAACTAACCAAGGAATAAGAAACCAACACTGGGGAATTACAGACAGGTAAAGACAAGCAGGGCCACAAGTAACAAAACCAACTACAAAATCAAACACAAGAACTAGAGAAATTCAAATGAAACACTAGGGATCAAAAAATACAAAAACAGTTGTGGTGGGATTCAAACACAGGACAGAAGGGAACACAGACAACTGGCTACCATGAGGCCAACAGAGAACAGGGGGGAAAACACAAAGACTAACATGAAGGACGGGATGACCAGCAACACCTGCTGGTCAAAGGGGAAGGGACACAGAGTGAGACAACAGGGGCTGACCCTGACACTCTCCTCAGCTCCTATCGGAAACATTTACATAAGAAAATGCTTTTTAAAGTTTTTATTTTTCTTATTCACTTCAGATGCATTTTAACAACCAATAACTGAGATGTCTTTTTTTCAGGATAGGTATATGCACACCTTCCTCTCTCTCCTCACTCCAACCCTCAACTCCTTTCGAAAACAAGTGTCAGACAGTGATGGGAAGTTCTACCCAATTTACAGTTTCAATTCTATCAAATTGTTTGTTTAAAATTTAATGAATCTAACGTTTGATTCGGGGGGTACATCCTGCTGTACTTTGTTGTTCGATTATAGTATTCAACCAAATATAAGGTGACCTCGATTATAAGACAACCCCCCACCTTTTGGCAGCTGTTTTTAGAAAAAAAAAGTTTTTGGAATACCAAATCTTACCTTTATAAAAAAAAAAATATATATATATATATATATATATATATATATATATATATATATATATATTT